GGAGAAGTCAAAATTTTAGGTAGTATTTTCTTTTTTTAAAAGTTGATGACAGGTATGTGGGTATTCAGTATATAAGTATTATTTTTATATTATGCCATGCTATCTGCACATTTTTTTGGAATAAATAATTTTAAAACTAAAACTATCAACCTTTACTTTAAACCCAAATCTTTCTTAACTTTGTACATGCATGAATGTACTACATAATCAGACAAATATTAAAATATACATAGGAAAGGAAACATAAGAACCAAACTATAGTCAAAAGCTTCAATAATTAAAGAAAAAAATTCCCATAGTGACTTTCACCTGCCCTCCTATAATTACCTGTGAACAGGTCACCATGTATTTCACTTTTGCTCCTGATGCTGCACTCAAGGATCTGTTTAAAGAAAATTTCAGACCCGTTCTGTGGCTTAGTGATTAAGGGAGCTAGATCCCACATGATGAACCACAGAGTTTGAATCTCAGTTTGGGAAACTGAAAAATACGCCAGATGCGTGTACATGCATCCCAAAGTTTTGACAGGATAGAGAAATGGAGAATGGATTGCAGAATGACCACGTGGGCTCGACTGGAGGGTACTTTCTCCTTTTTTCTGCCTCTCTCTGGAGAGCACATGGCAAATACATATATATATATACATATGTGTATATATAATCACCCTCCAGGGGGGATGGCCATACCGCAATCCCTTCTCCTCCATTCTCTTGGGATCTTGGGCACGTACGCACACGCGCCCAGTGTGAGTTTAAGCCACCAGGTCTGGGACTTGAACCATGGTCAACTACGTGGGAGTCCAGAGACATAGCCATTATGCTCACTGCTGGTCCCTCTAGCAAATGTTTTTTTAAAGAGTCCGAGAGTGGATATAATATCAACCTTATGATTTTTTTTTTATCATTTTCCCATGATTCCACATGTTCTGGTCACTACCTACTTCTGGAATCTGATTTTATTCTCCTTCCAACACACCCTAGCCATGGAACAGATCCTAACATTCTTTAGCGCTAATGTCTATATTTAATAAAATTCAGGCATTGTTTTATTGTCATTGCATCATGAATGGTTGTCAGTTTCTCATTTGTCCTAAGGAGTTAAAGAATGTTCATGTGTGGTTTTGCTTTATTATAATTTCAGTCAATTCTTTTCTTTCCCTCAGCCCTAATATCCACATTAGAAATCCTGTCAACTCTATTTTCAAAATATATCCTGAATCTGTTTACTTCTGTCTCTTCTGCTACCAATCTAAAACACTGCCACCTCTTACCTAGTCCAACACAATGACCACCTGTCTCCTTGCAATTATTCATGCCCTCATACAACCTTCTCTACACTATAGTCATAATGACCTTTTCATAACACAAATAGGATCATGCTAATCCCTTCTTCAAAGCCTCCTATAGTTTTCCATCACAACAGAGTAAAATCCAAAATCCTTTATAGCCCATATAACTGACATGACTTGGTCTCAGCCTACTGTTCCAAGATTTATCTCCTCCAAAACCTAAAAAAGCCACAGTGACTTTCTGACTATTTTAGAATAAGCCAACCTTGTTATACTTGAGTATACTTTGCCTATACTATATATATCAGCTCTTCATCATCATTCAGGGCTCAGCTCAAAAGGCCTCTCTTGGAACCAGCAGTTGGTGTAATGGCTATGTCACTGGACTTCCGTGTAGTCAACTGCAGTTTGAGTCCCAGACTCGGTGGCTTAAACTCATGCTGGACGTGTATGCGTGTGTGCCCAAGACCCCAAGAAGAGAATGGAAGAGAAGGGTTTGTGTTGTGTCCATCCTCTCTGGGGGGGGGAGGGGTGATCTATCACTTTCTGTCTCCCTGTCTCTCTGGCAAATGCATGTGCCCTATAGCAAAAAAACCTCTCCAAAAAAAAAAAAGGCCTCTTTTCAGAGAAGCCTTTCTCATCCACTGTGCCTAAAGCAGGGCTTCCCACTACTCTTTAGCATATCCTCTTTAAAATATTCTTCACTGATTAGTATCTTAAAATCTTATCTTTTCATGTATGTATGAACTGTCTCTCTCCCCCAACCTTGCCTATTCTGTTTGTTATAGAACTCTATGCCAAAATAGTTCCCAGCACACCATGGATGAGAAATACTTATGTGTTGAATGAATGTCCCCCTGTGGCCTTCGTTCAAATTCCTTTGTCTCTGAACAAATGCTCAAGTTTAATAACCTGAGTGCTGTATTTATTCAGTTATACCGTGCTGCTTTAAACAAAGCATGTGAACAAAAAGCATTTTTATTAACTTCTCAATCTTATTTCCTCTTCCTTGTCTTTAAAATATCATAGCTAGGAGAGTTAAGTATTCTGTAAACATATCACAAAGAATGGCAAAATAAAAACGAACCAAGTTTGTTCTATGCCCCAAAATAAGAGGAATAATTTTCCAATAATAAACTACATCTGTTCAGGTTCCCATACCTTCAACAAATGGAAAGCGTTTACAGTATAAGCAGAACTCTTGGGATTTCAGCTTTTTGAAAGTTATTTCTTTTTATTAACACTGAGGTTTTCTAGTGGTTTAAACAATAAGGTGAGGGTCAGCCAGGTGGTGGTTAAGGTAAATGGATCCTACATAGCCGACTTTGTGGTTTGAGTCCCAGACCAAGCAGCTTGAAAAACACACTGGGTGTGTGTCAGTGTGTGCCCAAAATCCTTAGAGGAGAAGGGACTGTGTTATGGTCATCCCCTATTGGGGTGCTTTCTCACTTTCTCTCTCTCTTTCTTTCTCTCTCAATCTATGTGTCTCTCTCCAGCAAGTATAACTGTCCTATAGCCAATTTTTTTAAAGAGAGGAAAGAATAAGGTGAGACTAAATCTGCATCTGTGCTAAAAGTACCTAATGGATGATGACAGATTCTATACAAACATTGTTTTTATAGACCATTCACTCATTCAACACACATATGCATTAACCACATACTAAGGAGATAGAACCCCATGACAAGTCTGTTGGATTGCTGGGAAAGTCATGATGTATTTTTGCATAGAAAAACATAAAACCACCATCATGACTTTCCCGATGACCTAATAATACAGTGCACGGAAGCACAGAAAGGCTATTAAGCTGTGGAAGGCTAAGGAAAAGGGTCTGAGTAGAATTGTAATGTCTGGGATGAGTTGTGATCTAAACAGGTAAGAGGAACAGAGGAAGGGAGCTTCCAGATAAAGAACATCTCAAGTGTAAAAGGTGTGTTGGCTTGAGAAAATGGACAAATATGTCAGAATCACAACAGTAGAAATGAGGATGGCAAACAGATGAGGGTAAAATGTGGGCATATACTATTCTAAGAGACTAAGATTTTGTCCTGCAAGGTAGCTCAGGACTATGAGATTTCTCTAGGAGAAATTTATTTTTCAATTTGATAAAAATCTAAAAACAAACAAAATTTTTAACAAAATAATACTTTGGATCATCTGGATGGCCACCTTTTTTTGTGGGGGTTGGAATAAAAAACATTTTTTTTCTGATTTTAAAGTTAATTTACTTATTCCATGAGAGAGATCAAAAGAGAGATGGAAATACAGCACCCCTCACATGGTCTTGACACTGAGATCTAACCCCTAAGGTCTCCAGCCTTGAACTGACAACCTTCTCACGTGGGTCTGCCTCACAGTGTCACATTTTATAGCTGTACCACCATCTGGTCTCCATGGCCACCTTTTAATTGGATGCTGTCACACAATTTCAGTTCATACATTTGTGTTTAGGATTGCACTACTAAACCAATGGTACAATTTATCATTGGTGCAGGTTATAAAGAAAGAAATGGGGACTACTCTGTGTAAATGTTGTTTGTTGGGGACCAGCAGGCGGCATGGTGGTTAAGGCGCTGGACACTCCCACATGGCCGACTGTGGTTCAAATACCGGACCTGGTGGCTTGCTTTCTCACTTTCCCTCTCTCTCTTTTACTCTCTCTTGTCAAATTAAAATAAATGAATGAATAAATAAAATTAAATAAATAATTTTTTTTAAAAAAGTGCTTGTCAAGTGAAGGTAAAATGAAGTCAGAACATACTGAACAAAGAAAGTAAGTGGTGTTAAAGAAAAGAGGTGAGAGCATTGAGTAATTTCTCAGGGCCATATGGACAGGCCTTTCTGTAAGGAATTATGCCATGGAGGACAGGATACATTCATTTTAAAGAACTCTTTAGGTCCACCAAAACAGTCTCATTGGTCACAAGGATAAGAATTTATTTGAATGTATTGGTTTTATAGTTTGACTTCTTTTAACTTATAAATGCTTGGGTGTTGCAGCTGTATAAAATATATGGCATAAGGAGATTTATACTTGCATAAATGTAACATATTAAAGATATTTTAAGTTAACAATAGAGGATCTTAGGTCTCTACTGGGGATTAAGAAATTCTGCTATTAGTGATTAGGAGTCACTGTAAAAGACTGTAACAGGCAAGTGACAGCTGTGTGATTTAAAAAAAAAAAAATCACTGTGGCAGTAGTGTGGGGGGTTGCAAATGAAAGTACCCAAGAAAGGCAGGAAGAGTAAAGAGGCTGCTTTATGTGATGAAAATGATGAGACCATCAATTACTCAGATGAAATGAAGATGAGAACCAAAGGGACTTGATCGTGGGTTAAGAAATGCAGGGCATTTAGAAAGACTATTACTTTGGTGACTTGGTGGTGAGATAAAGACCACAGGAAGACACAAAGAGGGTGGGGAGGATGAGAAAAGAGACAGATGAATTCAATCAGGAGTGATTTGAATTTCATTTCAGCCAAAGAAAACCAGCTATCTTTTCTGGGTTCCAGTTTTCTCAGTGACAGCTGCATTCATGAATTACCAAATTAACTATTGTAGCGCTCTCTAAAAATATACAAAACACTCTACTGTAGGCTGTAAATAAGTCATGAAAAATCAGCAGAAGCCCAGGCCCTGAAGAAAATTTAGCAGGGTTAAAAAGATATAAATTTTTACTAAACATTTCATTGTGATCCAAAGCACTCACCCAGTACTGTACTTTTTGTTCTGCCACTCAGATGCGATCACTCATTTCCCTTGAGCACCTATGAACAAGAGGTAAGCACACCAAATCCACGTGAGATACGCAAAGACACCACCCTCAAAGGACCTACAGCAATGCTATGGGACGCGCGGTGGTGCATGATTATGGACTACTCGTGTACTGGGAACTTTGTCACCGGTAGGGCTGGTTAACTAAGCATTAAGCTATCCTTTACTTAAGAGAAATCAGCGTGGGCTATCTTAGGCAGTCCAGTAAGAACGTAAGCATTTTTACGCCCTATAAGGGAAAAAAATGGAGACGACAGGAAATACAATGTAGCGATTATCGCGAACCCAACTAATGTCTCCATGGGCCACACAGGGCAGGCCTTTGGGAAGGAGTAATTCAATCCTGGAAAAAGCCGGCATCTTCCACCACTAATTCTTGACACGAAAGCATTGTGTTTATATACCCCAAATGTTTAAGCGTCAACGTCATCCACAACGTCCAACGTGCGGCTGAAGGGAAAGCCGCCGGGCGTACCTTTAACACAGAACGCTGCATTGAGGGGGGTCGCACTCCACACCGAGCGGAGGTCAGGGACTGAGAGGCTTGGGGATTACGGATTGGTAAGGAACCGATCCCTAAACTCGAAGTGGGCAGAAGGAACGGAGAGCAGGAGGCTGCAGCACAGCGCCCCCAGAGTCGTCCCACGCGCGCTGCGTGCCGACCCGGAAAAGCGCCCCGGCTAGACCACGCAGGCCCGGAGGAGCGGTAGGAGGCCGGACTGCTGGGCACCGACACGGAGGAGGCGGGGATGGGCGGGGCTAAGGGCGGGGCGCGGTGCGTGGAAGGTGGGGCCGGGCGGGGCCTGTTCCTCGGTGTCTGACGGGAATTGTAGTTCCGGGTGGAAGCCAGGCTCCCTTACAGGGTAGTGGGGACTGTATTCTCAGAGGGTGAGCTGGGACGTCTCGGGCCGGCCGCTCGGTGCAGGTCCCGCAGCCGGAGAGTTTGAGAGACAGGCCAGGAAGGGGGTGTTTCTTTCCCTCGTCTCCTCGCTGAGGCGGGGCCGGCTCCGCTTTCCCTCGATCGGTCCCTTGTGTCAGCTCTTCCTGGGCCCCACCAGAAAAGTCCGGGCCTTGAGGTTCGGAGTAGCGGCAGCGGGCCCGCACGAGAGTAAGGGACGCACCCCTCTTCGGCCCAGCCATGGGCCCGACCCGGAAGCCCAACGTGTGCCGCAGGCTGAGTCGCCGAGCACTGGGCTTCTTCTCGCGCGACGCAGGCGTGGTGCAGAGGACGAACTTGGCCGTCCTGCGGGCGCTGGTGTGCCAGGTGACCGCTCCCGGCCGGGATGCCTGGTGCTTGAGCCTACTGCGGGATTGCAGCTTTGACGCGCTAGGGCGGTGATCACGTTATGAGGCTCACGTGAAATGGGGAAGGGGTACAGCCCTGAACCTGGGGCATTAGTAAATAGCTACTAATAGGGCCACCAGATACTTAAAAACTTCTTATCCATTTCCTCCTGCAAGTAGACTCTCAAAAAGTTGATCACCTAGTAAATAATGTTTTTAAATGACATACGTGGAATTACTCTGGAAACTAAATGTAACTATCCAACTTAAAACTGGTGTACAGTAGAGTTCTTTCCTAAACTGAAATTCCTTATATCTTTCAGGAAAGTACTAAATTTAAGAATGTTTGGACAACTCATTCCAAGTCACCTATATCCTATGAGAGAGGAAGAATATATTTTGACAATTATCGGTGCTGTGTCAGCAGGTAACTTTTTAGTGTTAATTTTTCCTTTAAGTCACTGTTGATTTTTTTTTAAATAAAAACTAGATTTTAAGGAATCACATGTCTACGTTAAGTTGAAATAGAAAGATGAGTCCAAAATAAGACTTGGTGAAAAACTGTAATTTAAAAATCTTAAGTATAAACTTGTAGATTTCATTTTTGTACATACCAATTTATAAGAAAACTACAGTGCAAGCAAAAGTGATAGACTACTCAGTACTGTTTAATATTTTATTCTGCTCAGAAGATACCAGTTAGGAAAAACAGGTAGCAAATAATGCTGCTTTGGAGAAGAATGTCTGTATTTTGTTCTGGCTATGCTAGTTTTTTGTTTTTATTTTTCTTTTCTAACAGAAGCATAGTATAGTATGGAACCAAATGTTTATTGTGGGACCAGCAGTTAGCGTAATGGCTATGTCGCTGGACTCCCACATAGTCGACCGTGGTTCGCGTCCTGGACCCAGTGGCTTAAAACTCACGCCAGGCGCGTGTGCGTGCGTGCCCAAGATTCCTAGAGGAGAATGGAGGAGAAGGGATTGCGGCGTGACCATCCCCCCTGGCGGGTGATTTCTCGCTTTCTGTCTCTCTGTCTCTCTCTGTCTGTCTGGCGAGCACATGCGCCCTATAGCAAGAAACCTCTCAAAAAAAAATGTTTATTGTAAGCATCATTCACACCATGAGGCCACAGGGAATATTGGAGTGATTCCCTAGATCTATTGATAGATTAAAAAACTATCAAGAATTGCCACCCTCACCTTATTCCATTATCTGCTCCCCCTTTTCCTCTACGTCCTTGCTAAGTATTTTAACGTATACTCTAAACATTTAACATCAGTTTTCATCTCTAAAAAGTATGGGCATTTTCTTTCTTTCTCTTTTTGTTTTAAGGAGGATTTTGCCTTAGAGAGCAAGAAAGAGAGAGAAACAGTGAGAAGGAAAGTGAGAAATCACCCTGATGGGGGATGGCCACACCAGAATCCCTTCTCCTCCATTCTCCTCCCAGGATCTTGGGCACGCACACACATGTAGCCCGCCAGGTCTGGGACTCGAACTACAGTTGGCCATGTGCAAATCCAGTGATGTAACTGCTACACCATCTGCTAGCTTCATAATGGGCATTTTCTTTGTAAGAGCTTTATTGAAAGACCTGGGGATCTTAAAAAAGTTTGTGGAGAACACAGTATGAAAAAACTGTGTAAAATCTCAAAAATGTTTTGCACCAAAATTAATTTGTACTTTTAATTCTGTTCTCTAGAGACTATTTGAAATACACTTGTATAATTCCCATACTGTACAATTTAATTTTTAATGCATTCACAAATATATGCAAGCATCACTACCATTTTTAGAACATTTTCCTCACTCGAAGAGAAATAGCATACCTGTTGGCTATTTACCCCAGTGCTATCATTGCCTCCGCCACTGCTCGTGTATTTTTCTGTCTCTCTAAATGCACCTATTCTGGACATTTTATATAAATACAATGATATATTATGTAATCTTTGGTGTTTTTTCACATAGCGCAGTGTTTTCAAGGTTCATCCATGTAGGATGTATCACTATTTTACATAGTGAACAATTTTGTTTTGTTTGAATATACCGTATGTTGTTATCTATTCTTCAGTTGTTAGACACCGGGATTGTACTTAAATGCACCTATTCTGGACATTTTATATAAATACAATGATATATTATGTAATCTTTGGTGTTTTTTCACATAGCGCAGTGTTTTCAAGGTTCATCCATGTAGGATGTATCACTATTTTACATAGTGAACAATTTTGTTTTGTTTGAATATACCGTATGTTGTTATCTATTCTTCAGTTGTTAGACACTGGGATTGTACTTTTCGGTTATTAAGGGTAAGACTGCTATAAGCATTCATGTATAAGTTTTTGTGTGAGCATAAGCTTTCAGTTCTCCTGGATGTATAGCTAGTAGTAGAATTGGTTGGTCATAGCTTTGTAACTATGTTTAATAATTTGAGAAACAGCCAGAGTGGTTTTTCATTTTATATTCCCATCAGCAGAGCGTATGGGTTCTGATTTTTCCATGTCTTTGTCAATTTTTACCTGACTTCGATATCTCTTTGAGGTTTTCTGTTTTGTTTTGTTTTTTAATAAGAATTATTTGTTTTTATTTTATTTGTTATTATTATTATTATTATTATTATTATTTTGTTTTAACTTGAGTAGAGAGAGACAGAGAGAGAAAAGAAAATGAGAAAGCAAGCTGCCAGGTCCAGAACTTGAACCAGGTCAGCCATGTGGAAGTTCAGCACCCCAACCACCACCCCTCTCCTTTATGTTTTGATTTGCATTTTCCTGATGATTGAGGTAAAGAGGATCAGGAGCTCAAGGCTGACCTTAGGAAAGGTTAGTGAAAGAAGCAGACATGGTGCTATGGGCCGTGTGATTGTAGCCATTAGGGAAGCTGAGGCAGGAGGATTTAAAGACATGTCAAGGGGCCAGCAGGTGGCATGGTGGTTAAGAGTGCTGGACTCCCACATAGCTGACTATGATTTGAGTTACAGACCCAGGGGTTTGCTTCCTCACTTTCTCTCTCTCTCTCTCTCACTCTCTCTTAAAAAAAAAAAAAAAGAAAGGAAAAAAAAAAGACATGGCAAGACCTTATTTTTAAAAACAAGAGGCTAGCAGGTGGCATGGTGTTTGGGGCACTGGACTCCCACATGGCCAACTGCAGCGTGAGTCCTAGATCTAATGGCCTGCTTTCTCTCTTTCTCTTATCTCTTCCTGGTCAAAGTAAAGAATAATGATAATGAAGAAAATTAAATAAATAATTCTGAAAAACAAAACAAACTGAAAAACTAGAAATAATATAAAGTATGCTCTCAAAACATAGTGGAATTAAACTAGAAGTCGGTAACATAATGATATCTGGAAAATCCATGAGTATTTGGAGATTGAGCAGCACACTTAAATAGCATATGGATCCAAAAAGTCTCGAGAAATTTTAAAATGTTTTTAACCAAGTGAAAACAAAGATACAGCATGTCAGCATTTGCAAGATGCAACAAAAGCAGTGCTTAGAGGGACATTTATAGCATTAAAATGCATAAATTAGAAAAGCAGTAACACCTGAAGTCAGTACCCCAAGTTGCAACCATAGGAAGGTTGGAAAAGAAGAAGAAATTAAATCCAGGGTAACAGAACAAAATAAATAAAAATTAGGTCAGGAATCAATGAAGTTGAAAACCAAAAATCAGTAGGGAAAATCAATAAAACCAAAAACTGTTTCATTGAAAAGGTTAGTAACGTTGGGGCTGGCAGGTGGTGTGGTGGTTAACGGCGCTGGACTCCCACATGGTCAACCGTGGTTCAAGTCCTGGACCTGGTGGCTTGCTTTTTCACTTACCCTTTCTCTCTCTCTTTTCTGTCTCTGGTCAAAATTTAAAATATATAACAAATGGAATTAAATAAATAAATAATCTAAAAAAAGATTAATAAAATTGATAAACCTCTAGGCTAACCTAGAAAAAAAGATGAAAAAAAAAATGACCCAAATCACTGATATGAGAAATGAAAGATGGGCAATCATTATTGATCCCATGGACATTAAAAGTGATGTATGTCAGAAATTCAGATCTAAATAAAGAATGGGAATGTTGAGAAGGAATAAATGAAGGTAAAACAAAGTCTCTTTATTGATTTAACAGATAAAATTGGTTCAAAATAGTAACAGCAAGAGAGTAGTGAGTATACCATGTGGACAAGTAAAATGAATAATGGCAATGTTATAAATGAGAGGAGGATGGAATTAGGGATGTTCTGTTATTTTCTTCTCTATGAAAAACTTATCTTACAAGACAGGTCTAGCAACACTTTTCCTCACTTTTAAAAAAAATTTTTTTATCATGGATGGTTTGTGTATGAGAGAGAGAAGACCCTCAACAGATCTTATCATGCCATGATTGTATTTCACCATTCCTCTAGCTCCTCAGATTGGGTACCCATGTGTATCTAGCATGTTTTCAAGCCTACCTGAGGATCTGAACCCGTAGTCAGCCATGTAGCTTTCAGCCTTGTAGAGCGTTTGCTTTACCTCTGTGCTGTAGTGTCTGGGCCTCCCTCACTGTTTATGTTAGAACGTCAAATCTCTCCTTTATGTCTCCACTTTTTTTTTTTTTTCTTCCTTTAAGACAGAATTTCACTGGGTCATGATCTGCCTCAGTTCCTGTGTAACTAGGGCCATAGGTAGGTACCACTGTGTTCAGGGTCTCACAGTGTTGCACAGGTTATCCTTGAGCTGGTGATCTTCCAGCCTTAGCCTCAGCCTCCTGAATCACTGAGATTACGGTTGTGCACCACTGTGCCCAGCTTTTAGGTTGGACTGGGAAATTAAACCAAGCCTCATGTGGTCCCAGCTTGTAGAGCATAGAATCTCAGCAGGACACTTACCATAGCTGGGCCCCATCTTCACTTCTGAAGGTTAATTTCTCTGGATATTAAATTCTGGGTTGGAGTGTGGTTTTTGTTTTTGTTTCTTTCAATACTTTCAATGTTTTACTCCACTCTTTACTTATATCATCTCTGAAGAGAAGTTCATTGTGATGCTTAATCCTGGTTCCTATATAGTTAAGGTATTCCCCTTCTGCCTAACTTCTTTCACTAGTTTTTCTTCATTTTTTATTTTCTGCAGTTTGAGTAAGATATATCTAGGTGTAGATTTTTTCATATCTGGTTTGCTTGCTGTTCTCTGAGCTTTTTGCATATGGGTTTGGTGTTATTAATTTTGGGGAGTTTTCAGTCATGATTATTTTAAATATTTCCTCTCTTTCCTCCTGTCTTTTTTCTTCTTCTGGTATTCCTGTTATTGTATATATTATATCTTTTCTTCTTTTTTAATTGCTAACGGATACATTTGTTCACCGAAGAGAAAGAAAGAACCTCCCAATGGAGTATGATCATGCTGTAATCCTTTTTCTTTTACTTGTCCATCCCATCAGGATTTTGGGTACACATGCACATATGCCTGCCATGGGGCAAGCATTTCTGTTATGGTGTTTTTGATTTCTATCATTTCCTTTTCATTTTAATCATAAGGATTTTCATCTCTTAGCTTAATTTACCCATCTCTTCTTGCATGTTGTCTACACTTAATCTATTAAAACTCTTAGCATATTGGGACCAGCAGTTGGCATAATGGCTATGTCACTAGACTCCCATGTAGTAGACTGCGGTTCGAGTCCCAGACCCAGTGGCTTAAATTCACGCCAGGCACGTGTGCGTGCATGCCCAAAATCCTGAGAGGAGAATGGAGGAGAAGGGATTATAGTGTGGCCATCCCCCCTTGGGGTGTTGATTTTTCGCTTTCTGTCTCTGTCTCTCTCTGTCTTTCTGGTGAGCACACGCGCCCTATAGCAAAAACCTCTCCAAAAAAAACCCAAAAACTCTTAGCATATTAATCTTAGTTGCTTAAGTTCCTGATCAGTTATCAATTCCAAAATCTCAGTCTAGTTCTAATGTTTACTTGGTCTTTTCAAACTTTTTATTTTGCTTTTTCACATGCTTTGCAGTTTTGTTGTTGTTTATTGAAAGCTGTATACGAACTATTGGATAAAGGGAATTGAAGTGAAAAAGCCTTTAGAGTGAGATGATTTTTGTTTATCTGGTAGGGGTTAGGCTATGATTATTGTTTCCTACATCTGTTAAGTATCAAAGGTTAATATTTTGGGACCAGCAGTTAGCATGATGGCTATGTTGCTGGACTCTCATGTGGTTTGAGTCCTGGATCTAGTGGCTTAAACTCATGCTGGGCACATGTGCATGTGTGCCCAAGAGAAGAATGGAGGAGAAGGGATTGCGGCATGGCCATTCCCCCTGGGGGGTGATTTTTCACTTCCTGTCTCTCTGTCTCTCTGTTTCTGGCGAACGCACGTGCCCTGTAACGAAAACCTCTCAAAAAAACCTTCATCTATTGTCCTTATTATTGTCACCTCATTACTGGCTCTGGGCACCTTGATCTTGGGCATTTCTTGCTAAACTGTAATTGTCAGTATCCACCTCTCTGTCTGTTTCGGGGGCAACATTTTGTCCTGTGATCTCAGTTCTCTAATGAATCGCAGAAGAGCTGTTGATTTTCAATTTGTTCATTTTTCTTGGGGTCAGGAATGACAAGTCCTGTACTATTTTCATGTAGGATGAGAAACAAGTGAGAGTGTACAGTCAGCATTTGAGATGTGTTCTGACCCCAGGGGACTCCTTTCAGCTATGTTTATGTAGTTGTCTCTGGGAAATTAGCCAGCCTACCGTTTGGCCGTGTCTCTAATAATCTATCAGTCTTTCCCATTTGCTTATCACCACAACCTCTGCTGGATTTTTGGTTTTTGTTTGTTAGATTTTTTACCATAGGATGTGTGCACTCATAGGAGAGAGACAGAAAGAGGGAAAGTGAGAAATCACCCTCGTTGGGGGTGGGAAGGATGGTCATACTGCAATCACTTCTCTATTCTATCCTCAGGATTTTGAGTACATATGCACATGCGCCTGCAGTGTTTTTTAAGCCACAGGGTCCCGGATTCAAATTGTGGAGTTGGCCATGTGGGATTCACTGCTTTAACCACCACACCACCTGCTGGCCCACCTTCCACTGGTTTTGTTTGTTTGTTTTTGTTAGGTTTTTGCCATGGGGCACATGCATTCTGGAAAGGCTGGAGAGAGATAGTGAGAGGGAAAGTGATAAATCACCCTCTAAGAGGAATGGCCATGCTATAATCCCTTCTCCTCCATTCTCCTCTTGGAAGTGCCTGGCTTGAGTTTCAAGTCACCAGATCAGGGTCTCAAATCACAATCTGCCACGTGGGAGTCCAGCACCTTAACCACCTGCCACCTGCTGGCCCCTCCATTGGTTGTAAGAGTGCTCTTTGCTTTGAACTTCTCTACACTCTGTTGCAAATCAAAACACTTTTTCTGGAACAAGACTAGGGGCTATCTGTCTTAAGGCCTGCTTCTTTCCCCAGGCAAAATCTTTGAGCTAAGGCTCTGGAACTGTTGGTAGGAATCAAGGATGCAAATCAAATCACTTTTTCTGGAACAAGACTAGGGGCAGGAATCAAAGGCATACTTCTTTCTGACTTACTTCCCTACTCTAAAAACTAAGCACTGGAGGTTTAGAGAACATTAATCTCAGATCTTCTCAGTTTGCCGCTCTCAGCATGAAATCACTGTATCTTGAGGAAGGATAAAGCCAGTCAGGGCCCCAGTATTTTTGCCTGTCATGCTTAAGGTAGAGCCTCCATCCCATGAGCTGAGTAGAAGGAAGCCCCACTTCCTGACTGCACTCACCCAGGACTTAGTCCTAACAATAGGCTGCTGGCAGCTGGATGAGAAATACTATCATCCTGCCCCTCCTGGGAAGATAGCCAGGAAATGGCAGGAGAGGGAGCCCTGTGCTCTTGATCACACCATTCTGGAATGGAGTTTCTATCTAGCTGGGCTAGGAGCAGAGAAGGAGCATGCCCTGGTTCTAACACAACAGACTCTCAACCATTATTACTGAACTCGCAGACTTTCTTGGATAAATGTTTCTTTATGTATTGTATGTCCCCAGGACCATTTCCAAAGACTTTCAATGGTTATCCTTTTAAAATTTGCATCAGTTTTGCTGAAGAGTATGTCCACAGACCTCCTCATGCTCTCTTCTTGAAAGTGAAATCTGGACATTTTCTTATATGATCATAATGCCATTATCACACCTAGAAAACTAGTACTAATTCTTTGGTATCATTTAGTTTTTTTTTTTTTTTTGAGAGGTTTTTGCTATAGGGCGTGTACACTTGCCAGAAAGACAGAGAGAGACAGAGAGATAGAAAGCGAGAAATCACCCCCCCGGGAGGGTGGCCATGCCACAATCCCTTCTCCTCCATTCTCCTCTTGGGATCTTGGGCATGCACGCACACGCACCCGGTGTGAGTTTAAGCCGCCGGATCCAGGACCTGAACCACGGTCGACTACGTGGGAGGCCAGCGATATAGCCATTACGTTAATTGCTGGTCCCTTTTGGTATTATTTAATACCCAATTCATAACTTGCCCAATTTAGTGGTTACTTGTTTGAATTTTTAAAAAATTTAAGTGCCAAACAATTGTTCATCAGTAATGCAACTGGACACAAATGGGAAAGTTCTAGGTTTGCATCTCAGTGCCTCTGTGTACTTACTGAGTGCACACATATGCCTATGATCCAGGCTGACTGAGCCTGGGGCTTGATTGTGGTGTAAAGAACCTGCTGACCCTGGGAACCAGCAGTTAGCATAATGGCTATGTCGCTGGACTCCCACGTAGTCGACCGTGGTTCACGTCCTGGACCCGGTGGCTTAAAACTCATGCTGGGCGCGTGTGTGTGCATGCCCAAGATCCTGAGAGGAGAATGGAGGAGAAGGGATTGCGGCGTGACCATCCCCCCTGGGGGGTGATTTCTCGCTTTCTGTCTCTATGTCTCTCTCTGTCTGTCTGGTGAGCGTGTTCTGGTGAGCGCACACGCTCTATAGCGAAAATCTCTCCAAAAAAAAAAAAAAGAACCTGCTGACCCTGTTAGGGAGATCTCTCTCTTTCTCTCTCTCTCTCTCAATTAAAACAAACTTTTGAAAGTTTTGTTTTTTAAAAAATCAGAGTAAGGGGAATTGATTTGTGTTCTAATGGTAAAGTACTGGAGTTCTTTAATGTGCCAACCAGGGATGTTTTACCCATAGGCTAGAATCACATATGAGGCTGCTTTCATTCTTGTGAAATTCACCTTTGTTTAAACCTTTAAATCAGAGAGAGAACATCAAGGGAAATAAAATTGTCATCCTGAAAATTGTTTTCCCTTTCAGTGGTAGCTTAATTTTAAAGTTGATCAGTTAAAAGAACATCCATGATTACATCTCAGTTCTAATCAGAGAAGTATAAATTAGAAGACTATTTTTCACATCAAAGATATAATAATCAGTCCTGGCAGAAGTATAAACTTATTCAACCTCTCTGAAAGGTAACCTGAGAGTAAAAAAATCATAATGGGTATTTCCTCTTTATCTACTGATTTTCATTCTAAAATAATGGAACCTTTTTTATCTACTAATTTTTATTTTAATAACAAAACAATATTTTATGAATTTGATGGAATCCAACAGAGATATTCATAGTAAATGAGGATAAAAAAAGAATTCAGTGTGATCCAGTTTTGGAAAACAGTGTCTAGGTAGATACGTGTGTATAAAGAAAAACTAGAAGGAAATGAACCAAATGTTAATAGTGGTTATTTTTGGTACCTTTATAGTATTACAAACTATTTTAATCTTATTATATTTTTCAGATTCTTGTTTCTATGTGTATATATTATTAATTTTATAATCTGAAAAATATGTTAGCATTCAGTTAACAAGAACAAGGCAAATAACAAATTGTATTTTGGCATTCCAAATCTGTGAATAAAAAAGCCTCTCAAGCCTAAGCAAATTCTTACTTATCAATAATAACCACTTATTTTTCTTTTTTCTTAGTATTGCAGCAGAGCCAAGAAAACTTTATGAAATGCCAAAATGTTCCAAAGCAGAAAAAATAGAGGATGCATTATTATGGGAATGCCCAGTGGTAAGATTTATTTTTAGAGTGTTTTTTTCTAAAGCATTTTTAGCTCAGAAGAACTGGTTATTGTTAATATACAGTCATGCGCTGCATAACAACATTTTGGTCAGCAGTGAACCAATATAGTATGACAGTCCCGTAAGGAGCATATAAGCTATATCATATAGCCTAGATGTGTAGTGGGCTCTACTATCTCGGTTTATGTAAGTACATTCTATGATTGTACAGTGAAATCACGTAGCAACACATTTATCAGAATGTATCCCTGTTATTAAGCAATGCATGATTGTTATATTGTATAAAGGAATAGATTTTAATACTCCTTTAACATTTAAGCTGGGAGGAATTGGGCTGAGGAACAGTGATTTCTGAATTCTTAATGCTATTAAGAAGAGAGTATCATTTATCAGTTTTCCTTGTGAAATAATTTCTTTTCTAAATCTGTCAGGTCATTTGTACTTGCCAGGGAGAGACAGACAGAAGGAGAGAGAGAAGGCACTTCTTACTGGGGGATGGTCATGCCGCAGTTCCTTCTCCCCTTTTCTCCATCCTGTCGGGATGTTGGGCACACACACAAACTCTGAATGTTTTTCAAGCCACTCGGGCTAGAATTTGAACTGCAGTCAGTCATGTGGAATCTGCTTCCCTTAACACCTAGGCCACAGAGCTGGCCCCCTTTTGAAATAATTTCTCTTTCTTAAGAGATTTTTGCTATAGGGCATATGTGCTTGCCTGAGAGAGAGAAAGACAGAGAGTGAGAAATCAACTCCCCCCAGGGGGGTTGGCCATGCCACTATCTCTTCTCCTCCAGTCTCTTTTTGGGATTTGGGCTTGCACACACACATGCCCAGTATGAGTGTTGTGTTTTTGTTTTTTGGGTTTTTTTTGGAGAGGTTTTTGCTATAGGGCGCATGTGCTCACCAGATAGACAGAGAGAGACAGAGAGACAGAAAGCCAGAAATCACTCCCCAGGGGGATGGCCATGCCACATCCCTTCTCCTCTTTTCTCTCCTCGGGATTGTGGGCACGCACACACATGCACCCAGCGTGAGTTTAAGCCACTGGGTCCGGGACTCGAACTGCAGTTGACTACATGGGAGTCCAGTGACATAGCCATTACACTGGAGTGTCAATTTTAAGCCACCAGGTGTGGGACTTGAACTACGGTCGACTATGTTGGAGTCCAGTGACATAACCATTATGCCATCTGCTGGTTCCAATAATTTCTTTTTTTTTTTCTTTTTTAAAAAAATTATTTACTTAAATTTACTTATTCATTCATTTATTTTAATTTGGCTGGAGAGAGACACAACAGAGAGAGACAGACAAAGTGAGAAAGCAAGCCACCAGGTACAGGGCTTGAACTTAGCCACGCCACCTACTGGCCCCAATAATTTCTGTTTTTTAAACCCATGAATATTGGGCCAGCTGGTAGTGTGGTAATCAAGGCACTGGATCCCACATGGGCCACTCCACAGTTCAAGTCCTGGACCTGGTGTCCTAAAAAACATATTGTGTGTATGTGCATGCCTGCCCAAAATTCCAAGAGGAGAATTGGAGAAGAAGGGATTGCAGCATAGCCATTCCTCCTGGGAATGGCTGATTTTTCTCTCTCTGTCTCTCCAGTGAACATACACATCCTGTGGCAAAAAGACCTAAAACAAAATAATAGTAATAATAATATGAATATGGTTTTTAAGTTAGTCTTTTAAATCTCATAAACTAGAAAAAGTTAGTAAGATTAAAGTAACTAGATTAAAGTAAGTTTTATAAGCAACATAATGTAGTTTATAATTAGTGTTTAAGAGATATTCCATTTAATATACTAAAATGATTAAAAAATATTTAGAACAACAGTTAAGTTATTGAATATATGACTCTTTGAAAGTGAATGCTTATGGAGTTAGCATAATGGCTATGTCACTGGACTCCCATGTAGTCGACTGTGATTCGAGTCCTGGACCCGGTGGCTTTAACTCATGCCGGGCACGTATGTGTGCGTGCCCAAGATCCCGAGAGGAGAATGGAGGAGAAGGGATTGCAGCGTGACCATTCCCCCTGGGGGGTGATTTCTGGCTTTCTGTCTCTCTGTCTCTCTCTGTCT